AAATGAACTTGATTGGTTAAGGTTTGGAAAAATACGTTTGCACGAATTTTGTTATCCTCAGTGAGTACTTTGTTAATCATATCTTATTATTATGGTTGAAGGGCCTCCAAATTAATTTGCCCCTGGCCCCGAAAAACCATAAGATGGCCCTACCGCCATGAAAGGCCGCATTTAAGATTTAGCCGCTCCGTGCAATCAAATTCTGCTACCCCCATTCGTTTCAGTTTACATGAATATTAATAATTTCTTTAAAAAAAAATAACAAATGACGTTTACAAACAGCTTGCAGATAAATAAATTAAGAATCAAGAATTAACCAATTGAAAAAAGAAGACCTATAATATATTTTGATTTTTTTTTTCGATCAATATTTGTAACATATAGTAATTAGTAAATTTAGGTCACTATATTTATATAAATACGTTTAAATGGTTATATTCTGTGGACATTATCTTGTTAACATTTTTTCTTCATTTTATTGAAGCAAATTGTTCAATTACACCGTAGTAATCAATTTTTGATGTTAAATCCGCTTCTATGGTCATCATTGCCAAACTGTTCTATTCTCTTTAGAACATGATCTAAGATACGATTTTACTCTCTTTAGAGCTGAGAATATGTTCCGTTGAACAGTTGATAATAGATGTGCATAGCAACATTCTCAAAGAAATATCAATATAAGGATAAATATTTACCACATTTTTTTGCCTCATGAATGCACACATATCTTGTATGGTATTTGGAGCATCAGTACCAATACTTTTTAAATGGTTATAAAATGCAGGCATTCATTTATAAAAAACAGTTCCAAATCATTGAGATATTCATTTTATAATCTAGCTTATATATAAACGTCAGCAACTGACAAAGTAGTCAGTTTAAAAATGACATCTGACATATTAAGCTGCCTTTGTTCTACAAACAAATATCCTCTTCCCTACACTCTCTTGATTACTCAATACCATACCTGAACACAGCTCAAAGATGAATTAAATTTTAAAAAAAATGTCTTTGAAAATAGTGTTAATACATTTTTCATTGTTGTTTAAATTATGTGTTATATTATGTTAACAATAAAAGCCCAAGTTTCTTAAAATTAAATGTTACATCAAATACTTACCTAATTTTACAACAGAATTTATAACTATGAGCTTGACTGAATAAAAATTGTATTTGCATATTTATGAGGATTGTAGCATGTAAGCACCTATATCAAATGTTTTTAGCTGTCTTCCAATAAATTTAAATTAAATTTAAACATAAAAACATGATATATTATTTTAAAATATTAAATAACTTTACCAAAATAAATTTGATAAAAATCAACTATGTTTTTCTTACATAAAAACCTATAGACTGGGTATATACAGGATACATATGGACTGGTACACAATCACCCAGTAATATGAACTAGTAAAGATGAACTTTAAAATAATTATAAGGACAAAACATTAAATTAAAGACGAAAAAAAAATTAAACTTTTTCAGTTAACAAAAAAAAAAAAAAAAAAAAGAACAGTTACATATCATTATTATATAGTATTTTATAATTACATAGAATATATTATAATTTAACAAAATAGCTTATTATATAAATGTATAATTTTTTAACTTAAACAAAATTAACTTTTCTAGCTTTTACAGTTGAAAACTTTTCTATTATTAATAATATATTTTTCTTTTTGGTAGTTATTTATTAAAGTGAAAAATTGAATATCTTAGAATACCTCTCATGAAACTGCACGAGTAGAATAATGATACGCAGGATTCTAAAAATCTGGACTATTAACTATAAAGTAGATATCTATGTAATGGTTTGAACGACTGATAAAAAAAAGCAAAAAAATGATTCATTTTACCCAACTTATGTTTTTTAAGTACAAAAAGTATAAATATTATACACAAATTAACATATCAAAAATTAATTTAGTGAACTGCTCATAAAATTAAATTAAATATTAATTAAATTAAAATTTATATATCTAAATTTGCTACAACGCACTAGTATTTAATTATTTTACAACTTGTATACGTGTAAAAGAACACAAAAATAGGCCCTAGTAACAATTCGCATTTAAAACTTAAGAATTAAAAATTGTTATCCTCAAGCAAAATCTTACTCAGATCGGTCAGATTAACCCCAGTTTCTGGGTTAGCATTCGAGAAAAAAAATCATTAACTTTTTTAGTTTTGGAAAGCACATCCTCCAACATCTGTGCTTTCTCTTGAGATATTTTTCGATGACCAGCACCACTTAATCGCTTGCGGTTCATAGTAAATTAAGTGATAATACTGAAACACATGAGAATACACAATACACGTAGGTAACATTGGTATAAAATATTATAATAAGTACGAAAAAAGTTAACGTTTACCTATACTTTAACAAATGAATAATGATTAAACATTAAACATAGATAGTTCGATCGCTGAAAACACTGATGCACAGTACACGAGTGCACCACAAAAATAATTATTTATATATAGACATTTATATATTTATACATTTATTTGAATCAATAACCATTGATTCATATTTAATTGTGCTGTTTACTCACTATCGAGAGCATTGAATACTAGTGTACGGCTTATCTCGGGTAATCCCCGTGGACTCACGAATTTTTAGATTTAAAAGTTGTTTAAATAACTCTCTACAGCCACTCTTTTGAAGCTATATATCGTTAGTTACTATCCAGTTATTAATCATTGTTTTTATTTGTTATTGTATTATATTGTATATTTATTATGAATTTCATGTCAAAAATCTGTATCCATCTATGCTGAATGATAATTAGAATCTAAAGACATAATTATTAATTGCAATAATAACAAAAAAAAAATGAAAGAAAAACGAAATATAAAACTCTTCAGTTTAAATTAAAATACTCCCAGGACAATTACACATTGGCACTTTTTCTAGGACCACGACCGCCCCTTGAAATCTGCCGCCCGGTGCAATCGCACCCATTGCACCCCCCTAAATGCGGCCCTGCCATCATGAAATATACTACGTACATTCGTCGCTGTGTGGGGAGAGGAAATGCACTCGTATTGTTCGGGATGTCAGCATAGTTTGCGCGTCGAATACCAGATAGCGCTATGCTTATGAACGCACCCGTTCGCCCATTCGCTGAATGTTATACGGGGTAAAAAGATTTTCCCTTGAGCTCGTGGACGTCAAACTGCCGGTTTCCCTTTTGGTCTAAAACGTTCGTTTTTCTAGCTGGTTGTAATTATAAGTTATAAATATATATTATATTAACCAATAAGGGAAAAATATTGTTTTTAATGTTAAATGGAAATTTGAAAAATATAATACAAGAATATCAAGAAAATTTTCTCAATATGAATGTATTAATTTTTTTATTTTTCGAATTTTCATACTGAATCTTCAAAAATCATAAAATATGTTCTAAAAAAATGTAAAATCAAGATTTATGCTCTAAAATCTAAAAATCACTAAATATGCAAAAATATGTACTTAAAACTTTTGATATGTTTTTCGTAATGTATTGGAATTAATTTCTAACTCTCTTAGCAATAAATCCAATGGTGGAAAAAGACATGCAAATGCAACAACTTTCGAGCCCTATTCATAAGTATGCAAAAAAAATAATAATGATAAAAAACGATTATTATTTAAAAAATATTTTCAACATTTTATGTAGATATATAAATATACATATTACAATATTACACATAATATATAACATTTTTTTTTTATAGATACAGTGTACACTTTTTAATATAATACCTATATATTAAAATTAACTCTAAAAGTAATTTATTTTTTACACAAATAGGTTTTTTTTTCATAACTTCACTTGGTTCCCCAATTCTGTCGATTCAAATATCGTAAAACTATATTTTTAATTTTTAAAATATTATCAGGCCATTTAATATATTACTGTAACGGGCTACCAGGATTTGTCCCAATGTCCCGCCAGGCCAGTCCACCCTTGGCTAATAATATTCGTTTATAACAAAAAAAAAAATTCCGAAAAACAAATTAAAACTATCTCTTATGATTTTTTTAACAATAGGAAGGGTGACCCCTACATACATTTTGTTATAAATAAATACATTAATCATAGGAATCATCTAATTATTTGTTTTTAATTATAATTTATACTAGTTTTGAGTATCAAATATTGTGAGTAACTGTGAAGAAAATTAAATTTTACACGGAGGCCAAATGTAATTTTAGCTACCAAATATTTACAAAGAATTTGTGTAACAAACATCATATATTTAATTTTGTGATATGATAATTGTTAACATGAGTTTTCTCGCTCTTCCCCAAATTAATACCAATGTAAATTACAAGTATAAGTATTGTTAAAATGTCCCGCATTTTTAAAAATTAAATCTGGGATCCCTAGATCGCGTTCAATCTGTTTACAACCGCTTGTTACTGTGTTCGTATCGTAATGTATTGCATCACTAGTGGCAAAGCGGAAATAACACGGTCAAACCCTATGAGAAAAAAAAAGAATTAAAAAACAAACACTCAAGTTCAAATCTAAAGCAATGTCAATCGTCATATTTATTATCTGTGCGTGCAAGTACAAGGTGTTCGCGTGGTAAATAACAACGTAAACACACCGGTCGTGGTTGTTATGTAACGACTCGGCAGCATGTATTTATCTGAAGGCCGGCAAACGGTAAGTCGCTACGGTGGCGAATCGAACGTCATGTTAGGGGATAAATGGGCCAATGCGCAGGGCGACGGTTTTGAGGTGTGTTTTTTTTTTTTTTTGAACCAATATTGTTCGTACTGACTTTTAATTTTTGTACGGCAAAATTATTAGGGAACATCATTGCAGAAAAAAAAACGTTATACTCATGAATAACGCGATTTGTGTTGTGTACCGTGATTGTGTTAGCTCTATATTGTATACTAGCTTAATCAGACTAAATAAAAAATTTAATTAAATCACTAACCTTTATTACGTTTAAAGATTACTATGATTTGTCTAAGTTTTTGCTTCTGATTTCAGAAAATTCTGCAAGAATACATAAAACGGCACCGTCTTGAAGATTGCCCCATTACATCTACTGTAATACAACATTGATATAGTCAGGGCTGGAGAGTATCATAGATACTGGTATTTAAAATACGTGTCTGAGATAAAATTGTATCTTATATCTTGTATCGAGATACATTATTTTAATGTATCTAGTATCTTTTTATGATTAAAGATACTAGATACTCGTACAATCTAATGTTATGTAATAATAATTATTAATAATTTAGATTAAAGTTTTTTACGTCGAAGGCATTCACTTGATAGATGAACAATATGTACAATAATTACTCATAATAAAGATTATTTTTAATATAACCTTTATTATAAGCAAATTATGTAATCAATAAGTTATATAAATCCAGTTTATCGGCTGAATGTTTTCTTAATATTATCGCGCTAAAGATTTATTTTGGACTGTGTGATGATCGGTTACTTTTACTATAATTCTTTTAAATTTAAACATGTAATAGTAAATAAATAAACATTGTAATTTATAAATATATTTATATTCAAATTCATTGTATTTAATGTAAATGAATAAACAAATAAATAAATATTAATAAATGTTTAAAGTATCTTGTATCTTATATGTATCTCAGCTACCTGTATCTTGTATATAGTATCTTTAAAAATATCGAAGTATCTTGTATCTTGTATTTAGATAATTTTTTTTAAGTATCCTGCTCAGCCCTAGATATAGTGATCCTAGAGTTCAGGAAAAACGTTAAATATTATAAGTTGTCAATTACACGGTTATAAAAGACAATATTGTGCATACCTATTAAACAGAAAATTAATAATCCATCCCTGTACTAGTGATTATTATTTATACGCTATTTAAAATATTAAAATATAATTTAATTATTGAATTTTTCAAATTAAATATTTATCTTTTATTATTCAAATTACTTAAAATTATTAATTTGCATTCAAATCCTAGTCCTAATTATACTAAGACGTATTATATTAAATACTCCACTACAATCTGATAATAACGAACATGGTATTTCCAATACGCATACGAATGCGGCAGTATTACCGTTTGATAAATACGATGGATTTGAATCATAAATTGAAGAATTAAATATTATGAATATAACTATTTACTTTGAAAACAATATAATTACTATGCAAATTCATTTAATGCACCAATTTCACAATTAGTCACCTTAATTACTTTATTCTTGGTAATTTTTGTAGCTAATAAAAGGAAGTCCATTAAACTGTATATTTACTCACAAAAATTAACATTTTCTTCGAGTACGTTTACGATTTATTATTTTATTGTTTAGACAAAGGCTTCTGAAAATTATTTCGACTTACATTGTTCATTTTCTTTAAAATTTTCTTTTGATGTTATAATAGAGATCCATTCGTATAGGTGTTTAAAAAGAATATAATAAATTATGGTAGAACAAATTTCCGCGTACTACAGAAATGAATTCAACCCTAAAATATTATTAATCTATTGTATCTATTATCTATATTTATAAAAAAAAAACCATTTTTTAACTGACATTGTTGTTCTTCTCATGGTCAATCACACGTTGGTGCTTCTAGAGTCAGTTTTTTGAGTACTTTAGAAATGTTAACACGTCAAGATAAAACCCCAAATATAACTTATAAATAAATTCTTAGTACAATAAAATTATTTTTAAAGAACTCGAACATATAATATAGTATTTATCAGTGATATAGTTTTGATATAGATATTTCTTATTGTTGTTTCTATTACGATATTTTCTATAAAATAACAATTAACCCATTACTTGATTTTTCAAAATCCATATAAAATATATAAGTATTGGGCTATTTTTATGATGGTTTTCGAGGGTCTAACATTTTTTTCCATAAAATAATATTTCTCTTGGTATAAAATTCAGCAGAAATGTTCATCATAAAATAATATACATATTTTCATACATTTTTCTCATTTTTTCTATTCTTTCTAGATCTTAGTACTCTCTAAGAGATTTTACCACCAACCAGGGCCGCATTTAGGGGGGGGGCTGACTACAACTGTCCCGGGTACCAGTATTTTGGGGACGCTAAAATTTTGTAGTCGGACATTGCTCACTTGTGAATTATTGAACTTTTAAAATTATTTTGAAATTATCGCGTGCAGCGTGCCTACTACATAAAAAGAGCATTGATTTTAGAATATCTAAAAGATTCATGAGGATCTATCTCCTATATTTTCCGTGGGTAAGTCCCTTAAAGGGATGCTATATTTTTTTTTTTTTTGCGCCGGGGTGCAAAATTAATGAAGATATGGTTGCATTACTTTTAGTCTCATAGTTTGAAACATACATTTTATTGGTTGAACATATTATTAAAAACAATTAAAAAAACAAACAAAAAAGTTCTAAAGTAGATATCAAAAAGATTGCTGCATCTTTGACACAGCATTACAATCAAAAGTCAAGTTTGGTTTGGCCTTTTAGCCGTATTTTCTTCGAGTTCTGAACCAAGTTCCAGTCTTGCAAAGTTCAACCTGAGCCTTGCCCGTTTTCGATCCAACCTCACTCCACGAAAAATTCACGCCCGTTCACCATTTCTCAACAGATTTCCATACTCCCGTCATATCCATAATTTCTATTTCGTCCTTCAATCGGTTTCGTCGTCTAAATCCATATCGGTCAATCCTTCTGATCCCGTCATTAATCTTTCTAGTTCTAATTTTCTTTGGTCGTTCATGTCAGAACAGTCCTTCTTGTCGTCCAAACCAACCTCCATCGTTTCCAAACTAGCGTCCTCGTCGACGACTTCCATTCGTGCGGTCCATCCGTCGCAACCTTAACCCTCGTCGACCTCCATCGGTTCGTTACCGGTCGACCTCCATCGACTCGGAGACGTCGCCGAAGTCGATCTCCATCGGCTCGGAGACGTTGCCGGTCGACCTCCATCGGCTTGGGAGCGTCGTTGAAGTCGATCTCCATCGGCTCGGGGACATCACCGAAGTTGACCTCCATCGGCTCGGAGACGTCACCGAAGTTCACCTCCATCGTCTTGGAGACATCTTCTCCAATTTCCATATCCGTCGAGCCATCAAAGTGGCACCGACGGTAGTATGGACACGGCCAGCAGCAAGGAATGCCGTACAAACCGTAAGCGGTCGTCTGATTTCTGTGAAAACACGCAAGAGAACACAGAACGGTTAGTGCGCGAGTCGAATGAACGTCGAACGTGTGACTTGCAATCGAGATGATGTGATCCGATAGATCAGCGAACACTGTTACTTACCCAAGCGCCGGTGTCGCGTTCGTCAGATCCGATGACTCGTATGTCGTGGGGCGTTGGACGCAGTAACCACTAACGTAGGAATACATCGTAAAAATGTAAATCGGAAAATACGGTAAATACAACAAAAAAACTGTAATCTCAAGAAAATTAACGATTGTTAATCGATAGCAGCTCGCAGTAGAGTGAATATTTGCATTTGCAACAACAAATCGGTAACCGTTTTCCCGTGGTTACCGTGGTTGTACCGAATAAATGAACCCATATTGCTTATTTTCTTTGTGACCACGTATTATTGTTTACGAACGTACTTGTTAACACACATCAATTGATTGTTGTTAAAATTTTCGGAATTAATCTAAATCAAAATTGCAAACACATATTGAATGCTTTTTTTAGACTTCCGGACATTATATTTTTTAGTCGACTATATGATCACCGACTGACTATAGTACACGTCAGTGGCATAATTGAGAATGTTTCATGGGAGGGAGTGATCAAAATACATTTGTGGGGGCAATGCTTGTGAAATTTAGTATCACAATTTAGTCTGATAATTTTTAATATAAAGATATTATCTTCAGCAAGGCTTACTGCTTCTCTTAAATCAATTTTTTCTTTTTGTAGCAACTACGCAATGGTAATCCAAAAGAAAAAACCAATTGGAAAAATATTTTATAATAAAATAAAATAAATTATATTTATTAATTACTATTTACTTGTATAACTTCTAAGGATACAAGAAATTCTGAATCAATAGTTTTTAATAGTATATTAGCTTACGTTTCAGTGGAATCATTCTAATTAAGAATATTTTCTGTACCTATGATTCAACTACGAATCCAAATGTTCAATGAAATTTGTTACCGCATCATAATGCTGCACCCATTGTGTAGCACACAATCTTTTTAAAGTTTTAACCTTAGGATCCTCATTACTATTTTCAATGTTGGTTAAAAGAACATTTTTACAATTTGGTGTATTAAAGGATAAATATTAATAACCTGATTTTTTTTTTAGTTTCGTAATAATTTATAAGTTTGTATTTGAGCTATTTGTAGGTTTAAGACAATATATAATTACACCTCATGGGGGGATCTATCCCCCATATCCCCCACCATAATTACGCTCCTGGTGCACGTTGATCGTCTTTAGATTTTCAGAACATAAAAAAGGTCCACGATTTTTTGGTAAAATCAAAACAATCATATATTATGATCTAAATAAAATATTACGAAAACAATACGTGCTGAATGTTGTACGTCACTGTTGTTCTAAACATAATAAGTATTACTTTAGAAAAATGTATTTAAAAAAATGGTGGACGAGAGGAATAAACGATAAACATGGACTTTGTGTACATTATTCGGCCGAAAAGAAAGTTTTACTTAATTTTGTAAATCATCACGTATTTTAATTCACTGACGTTAAAACGTTTGGACATTTTTGGATAGTATTGTTTTATGTTTAGGTTATAAGCATACGCGAAATTGAATTCTTCGTCGTTCCCTAAAAAATAAAATGTGGTTCAATTGCCGATTCATATTTATGGTCGGTGAAGAAAAAAATACTCCGTAAAACACGTAAATTGCAATTTATCACATAAATGTATACACAAATGTGTCACAATAGTTTTTAGTCGTTTATGAACAACTAATGATAATTATTTCTTAGCGTTTTACAAGTGCTCAATACGAAATGAATACGTGTATACATGACGATAGAATCGTGCGATATTATGGTATAATCGTAGGACCAATGTAGGTTGTACGTTTTTGTTGTGTATTCATAAAGTTGGGGCGAAAAGGTAAAATTTTAGAATTGAATTTTTTTTTTTTTTTGT